AAGAACAGAACCAGGTCTAACATAACAGAACTGGTCCTAAAAGAACAGAACCAGGTCTAACATAACAGAACTTGTCCTAAAAGAACAGAACCAGGTTTAACGGAACAGAACCAGGTCTAACAGAACCGGTCCTAAAAAAAGCAGAACCGGAGGTATATGGATCAGAGTCCATGATGGATGTTTACCTGAGGAGAGGAGAGTGGGCGGAGCCTCTGTGAAACAGATTGAGCTGGGGTTAGCTCCTCATGTTAGCGCGTAGCCTGATTAGCACTGCTGTGTTTAGATGTGGGTCGGTACCATCCTACCTGGTCCACTTTATTAAAATAATTTCTAAATACATTACATTACATAAAGTTTTCATGTTTATTCCTCTAATGTCTCTATTGGAGTGAAGAGTTTCTCCTTAGTTAGTCTTCCAAGCTTCTTCAGCTTAGATTCTTTAAAAATTCAGATTTTTCAGCAGCTCTGGAAGGATTATTAGTTCTGCCTCAGTTTCCACTTGAAGGTCGAAGTGACTCCAGCACTGATGAAATCCTGTTCTTCTTCGTCCCAGAGCCCAAACCCGTCCCTGACCTTCTGCGTGAAGACCCACGACCGCCTCTACTACATGGTGGCGCCGTCGGCCGAGGCCATGAGGATCTGGATGGACGTCATCGTCACGGGCGCCGAGGGATACACGCAGTTCCTCAACTGAGAGCCGGAAGCTTCGGCAGGGACCGACCCGGTCCGGTTCTCAGGTCCGGGCCAACCTCCTCCTCACACCGCCTTGTTTGTTATTTTTTCCCACTGCGGTTCTGATCGGACTGGCGGAGTGAGCCGTGCCCCCCCACACCCCCCCATCACATCTCTGTATATTAACCAAAATGTCCGCCCAGCCGGATGACTCGAAGCCTTTCTATGTTGCCAAAAGGAGATCCAGTTACTGTTTAATATTTCTGTTGTTTTTATTTTGTACTTGTAGAAAAAAAAAAAGCCAAAATGAGTCGTTGCCAATCTTTTTAAATTATTCTATCATAACTTGAAGTACAGAGAAGAAGAAAGAAACATTGATTTAAAAACGCTGGTGGTAGAAATCCCCCCCCCCCACATAACTGAACAGAAACGCCTCAAACCTTTCAGAGGGGGCGGAGCTATCCGTGGTCCTGACCCATAATCCACCTTGTTGCGTAAAAGTTCTGCTCCGATCAAACAGATCGGTTTCTCTGCCAGAGTTATGGACCCGCCCACGCCATTATGCTGCGTTCACACTGAATGCCTTTAGGCATCAAAAATGCATCTCATCGTGGAGTCAGGCGGACTTCTAATGCCATGCTCAGACTGCACGCAGCAGAGGCAGCAAAGAATGAGCCTGCTGCTTCATGCTCGTCCTCGTTAAGGTCCGATGCTCCTGAAGGTCGTCCAGTAAAGTGTGTCCAGATGTGTCTGCTGCTCCTGTGTTCAATGCCAGAGCAGCATCGCTATATTTGCTGTGATCAGTGGGTAAAAAGTAGTTTTAATGTATTTTTAAGTGAGAAAGTCCACCTGAAAACTTCATGTGTACTCGATAATCCTCATTCAACCGGGAACAGCGCTGAGCCCAGCCGTTGTGTCACGTGACGAAATGAGCTAATTTCATTGGCTAGAAGCTGCTCGACTCTGAGTGTAGATTGCTTTGGCTTGAGTTCACCAAAAGGTCAACACTTTCGCGGCTGAATTTTTTTGCAGCTGACTTTTTTTCTGGTGAATTTTTACCGGATAAAAATTGAGTGTAAAGGAATTCAATGTCTAAAAAAATTCAGTGTTTAAAATTCGTTGTTAAAAAAAAAAAAAGGCAGATTCCAATGAGACCGTTTTTCTTCCATAGCCGCCATGTCGAAGCTTTTTCGCTGCTCTGATCTGTCCTTTTAGATTCCACCTTCAAACTTCAACCAACATGGCTGCCAGCCGTTAGCAGCTAGTCCATCATGGCTGAAATGATTCCCTCTGATGCAGCTTTTATTTTGAAGTTAGGTTTTCCTGGCTGAGAAGCAGTTTAGCCGTGAATTTAAACCGCTAGCCGTCATATTGGTCTAGACCCGCCCATTCCCTCTGATCCAGATAAAACCTCCTGTCATCTGTTCAGTCCATTTTCCTGATGCGACCCTGACCAGTTCAGGAAACGGTTCATGCGTTCATCAGTCACCTGCCGTTTCCTCCAAACTGTGACCGTTTGGTTCAGATCTAACTGCCTCTTCTCTCTATCGTGGCCTTTTTGTTCAGCGTTTGTATATTTCTGCCTTACTGAGATAGCTGCCTCCTCACTGAAGCTCCCCACTGTCCCGGCGGAGGGGGGGGCTTGTTTACAGTTAATGCTTGGCTGTCATCCACATGTGCATGAAAGAGTGAAAGAATATTGTATAAAAGAAGAAGTTTCACTTTGTCATTTTAGAACTTTTATTGCATTTAAAATTGTACAGCAGTCACATGAATAAAACTTTTATTTTTTACTGGTACAAGACTTGTGCAGGTACGTGTAAATGAAATAAATCTCCCTGCACCATGAAGACCGGATGCCCCTCCCCTCAGAGGGACGCAATCAGCACCCTGACCACGCCGTGTTCCTGATGTCTGTGTCTCTGTCATGTTTCAATCATGTGGATTTCTGTCAGATCTATTAAAGAAAAACGATTATCAGCAAACGCTCCTCCGCTGTCCGTTATGTCGGGTGGAGGTGGGTCACTGTTCCAGTGTTGAGCAGCGGCGAGGTGCCAACTATTTATTTTTTTTTTCCTGCTGCATGTGAACGAGAATAAACAGGAAAGAAAAACTGATAATAAAGCTAAAAGTTAAAGAACCTAAAGTTCCCCAAAGTAAAATCACATCCCAACACCACTTTGAACGGTTTTAAAAACAAAACAATCATCCAAGATGAAGGCTTGGGGGTCTCCCTCCTTCAGCCGTTCCTGGGGGCGGAGTCACACCATGTTGTCGCTGTCACCTGCAGACAAACAAATTATTTGGTTTTAGGGAGATTTAATCTACAGGGAATAATTAGATTCAAGTAAAAAAAAGCCTAAAAGGAAAGTGGGGAAAAAAGAAAAATTAAGTTTTTTTTCCTGGCAATACTTTGTTCTGCCACTAGAGGTGCTAGAACTACATCAACTAATGTTTTAACCCTTTAGATCAGAGGTCTTCAACATTTTCCAGGCGAAGGACCCCAAACTGATGGAGAGACGGAGCGGGGACACTAATTATATAGATTGCATGAAACTGGTCCTATAGTCACTCTATTACAGATGGAGTAATGTAACTAACGTAATCCCTCTCTGGGATTATTAAAGTATTCCTGGTTGATGGACAGGTGTTGTGAATGAAACGGTGCCCAGCCTGTTCATTGATGACTGAAAGACATCTTCTGCCTCCATTTATCTGTTCACTACAGTCTGTTGAATTCATGTTAATATTTATTTAAAGACATTTCAATTAGTGGAAAAAACTGCAGGGGGGATAAAAAAAATAAAAAAAAGTCCTATCCATCAAATTTCAAACCAATAGTGTTATTGGAATCCAGAACAATATCTTATTGCCTTTGTAACGTTCAAAAAATGTGGATGTTTTGATGGCAAAATGTCAATATAATAAGAAAATCCAACTTGCCCAAATATATTAAGAAAAATAACAATTTCTATCAGAAATTCAGGAAAAATACAATGAGAGTGAAAGAAACACATTTTTTTTGGTCCAACATTACCTTAGAGGCACTAATGCTGATACTGGAACTGACATTTTTTTGTTTATAGACCTAAATATAATTGTTAACTAGGCTTATTAACTTTTCAATTAGCTTTTTAACTTTTTTCTTGACTTGTTAACTTTTTTCCAACCTAATTTACAGTTTGTAAGCGGTATGCAAGTTATCAAAAATGCTAACTTGCCTTTTAAAGGGTTAAATGACAAAGTTAAAAGGAAATATTTTTAATATAAATCTTGGGAATATTTTTTTTTTCTTTGAATTTGGCTTCCGTATGAATGACGTATGAATGGTTGAAATTACCAATTTGGTTTGATTTCAATTCTATAACAGATCCACTAGCCGGCAATCAAAGCAACTAAATCTGCCGTTTTCCAGAAGAATCCAAAAACTGCAGCAGCCCTTCAACAGAAATCCGAGATTATAATCCAGCTGCAGCTCAAAGTGTGACAGAACGTCTGTATCTTTAATGGAGCAAACACCAGATGGGGGCAACGTTCATAAAGAATCTCAGTGTTTCCTGATCAGCATAAGTCTTATTTACCCTCAGTGATCATGTGATGTTTACTGACCTCTGGAAATAAAAGCTGTTGTGTCACAGTTTTTAATCCACACTGCTTAGGAGGATCCAGGAATTATTTAGCAGGAAAGTCAAACTCTCTTTGCTCCAGGGGTGAATAATTAAACTCTTTATAACCACCACTGATTCATTTCAGCAGAGACAAGTTTTACAAAACAAAATG